AAAATCGCTAATGATTGTTTTATTTCTCTTATTGTTCATTCAAATCATGCAAATGTTTGTCTAACCACGCTATAGAATATAGCGTTGACCCTCATGATTGTCCAAGCGCGTTATAGATTGTCAATGATTATGCTAATAGCACTAATGAATTTTCACTTTTGGGTAAATGATTGTCCATAAATGCAATTGTCTGTCATTTGGTGTTATTGAAGTTGAATTGCGCACACAAGAAAATACATTCCGCGCATATGAATGTACGAACGCTCTACAACTATATTGGCACAAATGAATGTACATTTTCTGTTAATGAACAGCAAAAGGTGTATTAAACTTTATCATGACTTTAGGCAGTGATGCATCCAGAAGGATTTCAAGGGAGTGACTTTTACCCAAAAAGGCATCACATTGGTTCTTTTTATGCTATATTATTTATACTTATTAATGGGGGACTTGTCATCCATTTCACCCCCCTGGATCCACCCTACCTTGAGATAGGATTATGTTAATGTTAGGAATAGTTTCCATGGAAACCTGGACAAAATAGTCAACCCCACTAGCACTAGCCACCCTATATAAATGATGTTCAAGTGGCATGGTTTTAAATTGGATATTTTATTTATAACTTTTTCATTCCCCACCTCTTGGTATAATAATCTGTTAACTAAAGTAAAGCTAGATCAAAATGTTACTATAGATATAGTAGATCTAGATTTGCAGTACTGTATGTTTCTCAGGCTCATAGTCACATGCTATCCTTGGGTGTATTGCAGTCAGGTAGAGGTTTTATAGTCTCGATCTCTATTGATCTCTCTCTGTCCTTTAATTTGGTGGTAGATTAATGACCTGGATCTAAATATATTCTGTCTCAATTAAAATTAAGGGAGCCAGCATAACAAATTGTTTAATGATTTCACAGGTTTTCCTAATTGCACTGCACACAGCACGACCATAGAATCCTTTCCAGCCAAGATCTATCCAGATCAACTTTTATTCCTACAAATAGACATGGGAAAATTAATGGCCAACATGACTTGTGGGATGATTGTAACAGCACCATCAGACAAAATCATAGCTTTTCAGTTTATGCTTGTTCATTGGTCAAGTGTAAATGATACTTGTATACCTGGTGAGTACTTAGAAATATTTGATGGCACTTCTTCTGCAAATAAGTCCATCCACAGAGAGTGCAAAGGGATTGCTCATTCGACAACCTACTTTACAAGTGGACCAAATGGCTATGTTGAACTCAGAACCAGCCTCAAAACAAATAAAACTTTTGTTGGGATCCGAATTATTGCTGTCGACCCTTCTGGTGAGTGAATTCTAATGCATGTTTGTCTTTGTAGTTGTGCACTTTTGCTACAGAAGCATTTAGCATCAATGGTAATTATAGCATATGCAAACCCAGTCATATAGGCATTTCTCATTTAACAGCAATTGTCTGTAGGAGTAGTCATTTAATAGCAATTGTCCTAGCTTTCACTTGCACACCTAGCCTGTAGGAGTAGTCATTTAATAGCAATTGTCCTAGCTTTCACTTGCATGCCTAGTCTGTAGGAGTAGTCATTTAACAGCAATTGTCCTAGCTTTCACTTGCAGCCTAGCCTGTAGGAGTAGTCATTTAATAGCAATTGTCCCAGCTTTCACTTGCACACCTAGTCTGTAGGAGTAGTCATTTAACAGCAATTGTCCTAGCTTTCACTTGCACACCTAGCCTGTAGGAGTAGTCATTTAACAGCAATTGTCCTAGCTTTC